TCTCTCGAGCTCTACGACCCCTAAACGTCATTGTCCTCGACCCCCGATCGAACCACAACTCTGCGGTTACCGAGCACCTTGACAATGTTCTTGATTAAAGTTCATTATTTTTAACATTTCATTGTACTTCATTGACTTTTTCCCACTTCTTATCACGTAAGTCGGGAGCCCATGAAAAACAGAGTGAAAATGCTAGTCACATGATTGGAAGCAGCTATGCATTGGGACCGAAAATAATTTTTCCTTCTTCCTCGGAGAGCACTCGGCCTTTTTGGATAAAGTAGTTATGAGATTTATAGGTTTAAATAACTGTATATACGACAAAAAATAATAAGTTGTTTTTCTGTAATTTATATGTGTTGAGAATTCCTGTCTGGTTTGATTCAAGATAATTTGTTCAATACATACGTAACGCGCCGCGGGGATGATCTGAAGTGCGTTATAAGATTGCATTACACGGGGAGGGAGAAGTCCAGGACTACGTTACGTAGCGCTAAAATGGGAGCGTGGCGCCGATTTTTCGAAAACCTTGTAGGATCCTAATAAATGGCGTGCTTGACATGTAGATGATTATGTAATAATATTAAAAAGAAGGGGAGTTTTTTTATTGTTTGTGGCACCGTGAACCTAAATGAAATTACACGGTTGGATGCTGTCAGTTTTGGAACTAAGTTTGTGCATTAAGGGTAGCTGAGGTATTTTGACCCGCTGTTTACCCCCTCCTTTCTTGAAAGGCATTTGCAGCACTACCTTTTATCCTCCCTCTCGAATTAAAGAAGATTAGCTTGTCCCCACCACTCTTAATTTTTTAGAAAACACCGGAAAAACCTATAAAATATCTGAAAAATCCTTCCAATCGGAGAATATTTATTTTCTTCAAAAAAAAAAAAAAAAAAAAAAAAAAAAAAAANCTTAAAGTCCTAACTTTTACAGAACCTGTCACCCTGTCCATCCCTCAGAAATTCAGTGAACCAGATGAGATTCAATGAGGGTCGTTGATAACTTTACCACTAAATTGATACCGTTTAAAGGATTTGGGAGGGAGCAATTTTACCAGTGGCGTGCGGTGGGTTCCGTGACAGGGCAAGCTCTAGCGTTCGCCATCGGTGGGGGGGGGGTTAACGTAGCCTCTTTCTCTTCCCCCTCCCCCTAGCCTCCCTAGAAAATTCTTAAAATTTTACTCTATTTGCTCTATTTTTCGGATGAAATCTGATGGAACGTAACGTCTTGAAAAACTTTGTCTAATTCATCACCAATTAGATCCAAGTGAGCGAAATTTTATAGAATATAAAGGCATTTGCTCCGGAGGAGCAATTACAACCGCGACGGAAAGAGGGAACAAGATAGCGCATCGGAGGCAGAAGCAGCGCGCTGCGATGACGGGCCAAGAGGTGGCCAAGAGAAGCGAGCTGCGATCGCGCAGCGAAGAGCTCGGACTCGGAACGTACCGCTCTACCTGCCCGCCTTGATTCCGCCGCCGAGCAGTGGCGCTCCGCTCAGCTGATCGCAAGCGATTCTCCAGCGCATGAGTTGGCCCGTGTTCAGGCCGCGCAGCGCGCTGCGCCACCTCCATCCGCTCTTCTGCTTTCCTACTTTGGTGGCTCTATACGTATTTCTGTCTCCCTCTCTTTCTGTTTTTAATGCAATTTACTTACTGAACGCATTTAATAAATTATATTTGCTAAAATGTAAAACATTTAATAGGTGTAATTTTCTTCTTTCTTTAGAAATCTTTGGGCAAGCAGTGCTTGCCTTGCTTATCCGGACCGCACGCCACTGACTTTTGCACCCAAACGAACGATATTGAAGGATGAGGATGAGGAATCCTGCGATGTCTGTCATCCAACCTCGTTTATCCATTGCAACCACCCGGTTCCACCAATAGGATCCCTCCATATCTTTTTGGTCTAGCTTTGTCTATCAATTTCAACAATCGGCCTGCAGTTCATTTTGGTCCGGGGTCTGAAATGCATCCTCTCAGTCGGAAGCAATTCAGGAGCGGGAGCAGAGGTCTATGGCAGTTTGTGACGTAATAATGTTCCGCGCTCGTGGCAACGGCGTAATTACGACTACGAGTGTGGGGGGAGGGGGGGGGGCACATCGGAGGCTGAGCTTATGCCGGGCATTATCCATGCATAAATGCATTCGGGATATGCGGCGACTGCTCCAGTCACAACGGCATACCGCCGCCCGGCTAAGTCTGATTTACAACGGCAAACGCACGCCTAAGTCATCCGCGTCTGAACCCCCCCCCCCNNNNGGGGGGGGGGGGGGGGGGGGGGTTGTCTAACCCATCGGCCGGCAGATACGATTTCCCGACTGGGAGCTGAGACGTAGCCACACTGCCCGCAGCGACTCAGTCGAAGGGTGAGGGAAATCAGCGTATCGAGGATGTCGATACGATTACATGGTTTACACGGTGCACGAACACTGGACAAAAAAAAAACACATTGGGTCTAGAGTCCAGACTCTTGAAAACATTGACAAGAAAAAAAACTCTTGATTCAATCAGATTTAAGCTTAAATCAAAAGGAAATCCGCTCAAATTAAGAGGCTCGGTTCTTGATTTAAGCGAAAATCCGATTGAATCAAGAGTATCTTTTCTTGTCGATCTTTTTAAGAGTCTGGACTCTAGATCCAATGTGTTTTTTTTCCAGTGAAGGTTACATAGTTTTAGAGGAATGGAGAATTTGCGGATTTTCTCCGGATTTTTCACTGGTAAAAAAAACCTCTTGGACCAATTCCGCGGTGCATTGACTTAAGAGTGCAGTTTCTTGTCGCCGGATTTGAGAGTCTTGAACTCTTGTTTCATGCGGATTTTGCATTGATTCAATTCAAAATCCGCTTGAAACAAGAGTTCAGACTCTTAAATCCGGCGACAAGAAACTGCACTCTTGAACCAAGAGGTTTTTTTTACCAGTGTTCGCCGAATTCGGTTCGCCGTTTTAGTTGTCCGATCGTCTACGGGCAAAGAACCCTGGTCCATCGGCAATTTCCGAAGGAGCCATTATTTTTGAGCTCGGTGGAAAATTCGCGTTTTGAGATTTTTGAAAACTCTCTACTAGACCAAATATCGACGGTGAAACTACCAAACCACGTATCTCGTTTGCGGTGTTTAAAAATCTACGCTCACATTTTATTTTATTGAAGTAGACAAGATCAATATCATTCCTTGAAATTTTCACGGAATTTTCTCCGCACAAAGAGGAAAAATCACAGAAATTTTCAAGACTGGATGTTAAGTAGTTTTTCATTTAAAAAATAAAGTATGACAGGAAGTCTGCGACGTCGCAAACCGAGATACGTGGTTTGGCAGTTTCACCGTCGATATGTTTGTGCCATTGGGAAGTGAAACAGGTTTATGATACTATGGAAATTTTGTACCCTAAGCATGTTCGACCAGAATTTTCAGTAGCTTCTTCTCAAAACTATATGTTCGAAATGCAAAATTCAAACGAACCCTTTGTATTCCCCTTTTTGAAGGGGCTGATCTCAAAATTTTCGTAGAGCTCTCCTCGAATGCTCGAACCAGAACCGCTGAAGCTCTCCTTCGATGTTTTGACAACAACAGTTCACTCATGTATAAGCTACTTAAATACTAGGAGGAGTTCTCAATTGGACGCATTTCTATCTAACGGAACTATGTGCATGCTGACGTGAGCCCTGGTATGCATGTATTCATACGGGTCTCAGGGCTCATGTCTTAATGCACATAGTTCCGTTTGATAGAAATACGTCCAATTGAAAACTTAGAAACCGAATTTCTCATCGAAGTCAATGAACATCGCACTTTAGAAAACTTTATCTCGCTGAAATACGATTTAGTTTCTTCATGCACGAGTGGTTATTAACAAATATACGTGAATCTGGACTGAGACTTTTGTTCTCCTCAAATAACATAACCTCATACCACATTCCTCGAGTACCCATGCGTTACGTAATTTAAAAAATAAACGAAGAAAAGATACCACCTCGGTGGTTAGAGTATCTTCAACTATCAGATTAAATCAATTGGACGTATTTCTACCAAACAGACCTATGTGGAGGTGAGAAATAAGGGGTGTGCTCGTCGAAGCTGCATAAGAAGCAATGTAAAAGTGGGCGTGATTCTTTTTGAAGAATTGGAAAAGCGGGATTTTACATTCTATCAAAGAGACCTATGTGGCAACTGAATGCGGGAGTCATGAGCCGCGGGCATGGCAAAAGAGCGTTGTGCACAGGGCTCATGAGTTAAAGACTCCCTCTAACGATCTCCCCCTCGCTCGAGTGCGCACTATCATTGCCGCTGACGTCACTGGCGCTTTATTATTCCCATTCACTCTTACGGCCAGAGAACTAACGAGCACACACCATATTTCTCACCTCCACATAAGTCTGTTTGGTAGAAATACGTCCAATTTAAATACGTACATAATAGATTTCACTTAAAATTTGATAAATCAATTTGGTTAATTTTTCAAAGGGCACGTGCGTGACACCGCACGCGAAAATCGGAGAGGAAATTACGGGATTGGCAACCATGCTGGAAATTGCGGTTAGCCGGCTGTAATCTGACTGGATATTTGATCTACTGCGCTTTCGCGTCGATGAACTCTGCAGGCGCATATTTTGCCCGAAATCCGGGTCAATCAAGTAATGGCCGGGTATGGAGTCAGGAGACCTGGCCTCAACCACGAGTAAATGGATACCTTGCCGCGGACGCCCTACATGTTTAAAAGAACAGTGGCGAGTACCATAGGTTATCCAAGTACAGACGATCGCCAAGAAATCTATTTATCAGCACCCAACTCCCAACATTGGCTCTTTCCATGAGAAGGGAGCAATAGCGTTTTCGGACCAAAAGTTCGGAAAAAGTAGAATGGACCACTAGACAAGGTACGAATTTCAGCATTCTGATACATGTTTCTTAACCAAAATTTCACGTAAACCACGATGTGCACAACGAAAATTACTGAAATCAACTCCTTACGAAGAAGGAAGGGGAGGTTACTGGAACTTACCATCTGGCCGGGAGATCTCCGCTCTGAGGGTGTAAGCGTGGCTGTAAACAGCCTCTTGCACTTTTCGTCCTTTATCGAGGAGTCTCAGAGACACTAGAGATGTTTCGTTCCTGAAAAACAAACAAGTTTAATTCTAGAATTAAATAAAATCTACTATGCAAACATGACAGGCTAATGCCGTAATCAGACGCTGAATTTAGTAGCTGAATGTAGAAGTCAACAGTCATCGCCCAACGGCTGAAATTTAGCAAATTCGAGTTATTTTCATCCAGATGTGTATTAAATCTACTCGAATAGTTCAGACAAATTCAAAATTGGTCCGATGGTTGCTGAGAATCGTTGCTGAATGTTGCGCGTCACGCGCAAAATTCAGGCATCGGGCCGATGACTTCCACATTCAAGCCACATTCAGCGTGTGATTGCGGTGTTAAAGAGAACAGCTCTCCAGGTAATGAAAACATTAGCGGAAGCAGCGAGGTACCTACAGAACATAAGAACGCGCAGCGCAATGGGTCTCTTCCACAAAATAGATACGCAAAGTTCGTCTGTTAACAGGCTTAAATCGCACAAAAATCACGCTGGGCACATAAACAAAGAAAGAAATCCACTCCTCAGTGAAAACTCTTGAGAGAGCAAAGAGAAATTAAGGCACGGAATTCGATGCAATACACGTTCGCATCCAAATAACAATTAGTGAAATCAGTAAAAAAGGAAGAGAGAAATACTTAACCGCTGTTAATTCCTTCAATAATTATTATAAATCGATACCTGTCACTTATTTATTCAATGTCCGTAGGAGAACAGAGGTAATGATCTCTATATCTGATGATATCTCCTTTTTCAAAAAGGTAAATTGTGACGGTACACAGTAATTTTTCTTCGCACCGCCCCACAGTGCGGCATCCTTATGGACGATGCGGACAAAAATCGGTAAAAGACATTTAACTTTAAATGAATCAGTGAGAACGGAAAACACACCAACTCGGTATAACTAAAAAATGCTCAATTTTCATTAAAGAGGGTCGGTTTTCATAAAGGTAAGTGAAGTGAACGGATCTCTTCCAACTTGGACCTTTAAAGTGACCTTAAGTACTTGTCTTTCGGTACCAAAAATCTTTTCCTTGCCCTAACTTTTTCAACTATTGTGCAGTTTTGTATATGTCTTGATTATTTTCATTTTTTCGAGTTGGTAAGTTTTCGTTCTCACTGATTCAAATAATGAAGATAGTAGCACCGACATAGGAAAACCCTTTGGCACAATCAAAGTAAAACACTCGAGGAATAAGGAAATGTTATAACTCAGGATTTTTTGCGTCTTTTCCGAGAAAAGTTCATTTGAAGTTGGCGACCTCAAATCAGCCCCATGTTAACACTGTAAAAGCAAAGTGAAACACCCAAAATTATGAGCTGAAAAACTGTGACTCCGCGAGCTTAAATATTGGAGCCAAACACACAGCGGAGCGGCACATGCACTGGCGCCTACAAACCTAACAGGGATACTTCACGCATTACGCGATGCGTGAAGTATCCCTGTTAGGTTTGCAGGCGCCATACTTCACGCATTACGCAATGCATGAAGTATCTCTGTTAGGTTTGCAGGCGCCAATGCGCGTGTCGCGCTGGTTACCCTCGCCCGCCGCGCCGCACAGAGCGGCGAAAAGTTGATTGCCCTATGTTAACAAAGTAAAAGCAACGTGAAACACCCAAACTCTAACGTCAAATATCTCTGATAGTCGCAAAAAGTCGCAAGATCTTTCTGGTAGAATTGAAGTTGGATATCTAAGGATTAGGAAAATGTCAACCACCCGGAGCATTTTGCGTTTCAAGCGAGAAATCTTTATTTAAAGTTGACGATTTTTTCCTGTGTATTTCTTATGGACCAGTGACTCTTGACCCATTTTCGACCCACTTTCTAGCCAACTTTGAAGTAGTTCTGAGCGAAAAATTTGGAAATGAACCATCATTGTGAGTCAGAAATATTTTAAAGATGACAAACTCCCAAAAAAAAAAAAATACTCAGATGTCGAGTTGTGAATTTTTAATTTTTGTCCACAGAGGGCCGCACATAGTGCGCCCCTAAAACAGTAATCTCTGAGGAAATGCGCTCTCTTGAAAAAATTAAGTGGGAACAGACATTTTTTTCTTAAGCTTTAACGCACATGCAAAGTCACGAATTAATTTTTCTCTTTTCTCATTTTCTCCCCCCGGTGAATTCTTATCATCGGTAAATTACATATAGATTAAATGTTTGCAGACAGCTGTCTCTAGCAAGACGGTCGGGAATGCTGCGAAGTTAGGAGAGCATGAAGACTGGACAGGTATTCGAGTAGTGTAATGCAAAAACCCCGCGCTCTCATTTTCGTGCGAGCATGAGCTACGAGCCCCATTAAGAAGGCCAGCGCGCGTGACTCTTCGGAAAAATGAAAATGGTTTGTTTCCAAGTGAACCAACAACCGACTCATTTGAGGAGGAGTCCTAGCGCCGGGAAATGGGCGACAAAATGTGGCTGGAAAAATAAAGGTCAACTTCATCTCAGAGGGACACCACTGAAAAAAAAATTATCGGCGTTTTTACCAAGGTCCGTTGGTACTTTTACCATCTCACTTTTTTTACCAATTATTGGTAATTTTACCAAGACAGACTGGTAAGCTTACATAAAAACCGGTATTTTTACTGTTTTCTTCAGGTAAGAATACCACTTTTATTGGTAATCAATTCCCGGTAACTTTGCCATTTTATCTCGGTAATTCTGCCACAATCGATAAAAAATATTGGCGTTTTTACCAAGGTCCAGTAAAATTACCGAGAAAGTTCAATAATTTTACCGAGATTTCTCGGTAAAATTACCAATTCCATAAATGGTAATTTTACCAAGAAAAAACTGGGATCAAATAGAACCCTGAATTCGTGGTAATTTTACCCTTTTCTCAGTAAATACACCGAGATTGTTTTTTCAGTGATTCCTCTCCTCGTCTGATCGGTGGATGCGATGGCGAATTGATGGCCGGAGTGCGGAACCACGTACCGCCGTTTGCGACGTTGCACAATTCCTGTCATTATTCATTTTTTTTGGATCCATCAAACAGAACTATGTGCAGGTGAGAAATATGGGGTGTGCTCCAGAAAGCTGGATAAGAAACAATGTACAAGTGGGCGTGATTTCGCGGACATGGCACGAGAGCGTTATGAACAGGGCTCATGAGTTAATGACATGCTGTCTAGTTTTCTTCGTAAAGCTCATTCCCTGATTTTTCCCTGAGTTTCCCTGATTTTCAGGAGCTCATTCCCTGAGGAGAAACCGAAGTTTTCTCCCACTTTCCCGGGATTTTCTTGGGGAAAAGAATATTATTTTCCACAATTTCAGATATGAATATCGATTTTAATTAATCTTACAGTCATTTCTTTGGCGCACATTCGCACGAAATGATCTCTGAGTGGTTGGAGAAGAGATTCCCGGTTTCTGGAACAGTTTCCCTGATTTCCCCTGATTTTCCCGGTAAATTTTCATTCCCTGATGAATCCCGGTTTTTTAAAAACTAGACACCATGCACTGAGAAAAAACTATGGTTATGATTACCATATTAGTGGTGTTCAATATGCACTCTTAATTAGTAGTGGCCATAACCAATAATAGTGATATTTTTACTGGAGCAATCGTAGTTTTACAAGAGTGCGGTAGTAAAATTACCATTTAATGGTAAAAATATCTCTATTATTGGTTATGACAACTACTAATTAAGAGTTCATATTGAACACCACTAATATGGTAATTATAACCATCATTTTTTCTCAGTGTGGTTAATGACCACTACGAGGAGCCCCGACCGAGGAGACCGGCATCCACCTCCGTTTGACGTCACTGGCGTTTTATTATTCTCATTCTTTCTGACGGCCAGAGAACTGACGAGCACACTCCATGTTTCTCACCTCCACATAAATCTATTTTTTGATAGAAATACGTCCATTTGGGAAAGCAGTCGACGTAATTTCTTAAAAACTTCCTTAACTTTTCTTCTCTGCTGGCAGAATATTCTGTACAAATTTTAGGCTATGGAGTTGACTTGTTCCTCTTCAATGAAGTAGGAGGAGGAATTCTGAAACTCCGCAATGGAGATACGTGGTTGCGTACTTTGGCCATCGGACCGAGAGTCCATGAATAAACTAAAAAAAAAGTGACTCATAATCAGTTACATCGTGTCAAAATCTTTGTTCATGTTTAATTTTTTTTCTTAATTTCTTTAAAAAAAGAAAGACTAACGAATAATATGGCTTGAAATTTATGCTGAATGATTTTGACAAACTAAAGATAAACTAAATGGAACTTCAAGCGAAAATGACATGTTGTCTATACTTTATGGAATGAAACACGGGGAATAACTTGTGATTTGGCATTTTGAGACTCGGGTTTTTGGATTTTAGCTATCGAGGTGTGTGACATGTATGGTTGCAAAAATATTTTCTTGGATACAATCGCATCTGTTGTGTTTTCCTAAGTTTTGAGCGATAAACCCATCATCTCTGATTTAAGTCAAGTTCCAGAGGTATAAATGTGTTGTTAACTCAACAAAATCGCCGACAAAAATTGCTGCGGTTGACATCATCTCAAGTAGGTACCCAGTTCGTTCGCTGACAGATAAGTCATTATTCTGACAATCGTAGTGTGCATGTAAATAATGACAAATCAAAAGCTCTGCGAACAGCCAAAGGTATAAGACCTCGATGAGTTGATAAGTATGCTTTTGTACGCTCGGTGCTTTTCGATGGGTGCTGTAGTTATTAGCTGCTCCGATTTAAAAATTTGCTGAGGAAACGGAGGATAAAAGCCGAGCTCGGTTGAATAAACTCTCCCCTGGCACGGCTGAGCTCTTGGCAAAGAACTTCGGGAAAGCCCCGAGCATTCGCAGAGGAGAATTTTCACTACGCTCGGGGGCAGAGACCTTGTGTGCCTCTGCCACACTAAGTAGAAAAGTCGTATCAACACTTGAACGTAGTCAGATGTATCCTGATAAAAGACTCATTCTAGGAAAACCTGTTGATTATTCCTTTTGATTATAAACAAGTAAATTAATCGAATACACACACGGATCACACACGGATAATCACATACGGA